GGATCTGAGGAGGCAAGGCAATTGCCTAGCTGAACTCATGAACAGTTAAGTTAAAAACCCATTAAAGAAAGAGTTCTAAATATCATGTATCATAACTGAACAAAATTCAGAACTTTTATTTTCATCTTCACAGAACATGCCTGTCCCTCACTTCCCCTGCAAAAAAACCCACTGCCATGGAGCTGATTCTCATAGTGACCCTTGAGGGCAGAGTAGAACTGCAGCTTAGATTGTAAATCTTTACCAGAGCAGACAGCCTTCCAGTGGGTATGAACTGCTGACCTTGCAGTTAGCAGCCCAAGGCAGAACACACTGCCCCTTTGCCCACTGTGAAAAAAAAGACAAGAAAAGACTTCTAACAGGCTGCTTTTTTAATCAGGAGGCAAAGGAAACCAGTTTCTAGCAGCCTTATTATTAGTCATCCTCAGGATCTCTCTGAAACAATTGGAATGTAGTAAACTCAGCTCTGGTATATTTCCACTTGTCAGCCAGCCCAGCCAGGCAAGATAAGCAAATTTACCGATACCTATCATCTAGCCTTTCATCTTGCAAAGTTATTATTTTTTTCTCTCTCTCTCACCCTCAAACCAACATCTATCCAGGATGTCTTGCAATCTTATCAGTTTCCAATTACACCAGGCCTAAAACTGTTTCTTGTTTCTTGCCTGAGGTAGTGCTGCATTTAAGCACAACAGAAGTGGGCTTAGTATTTCAGCCTACAAACACTGCATTTAATTTCTGCCTCTGCACAAGAGCAATTGCTCCACCGTCGCTATGCCAGTGGCCCTTCTTCAATCCTGACTCTGTTTTGTGAATGTTTGCACATGAAGGCAGATTATGAAGAAGTTAGGAATGGAAGATAAATTGAAAGTTGTATTTGGTACTACTTCAGTTAAAATCTTAACATTCTTGCTTTATAGCGTATACTATTAATTTCTTCAGCTTCCATATCCCTGTAAGGAACATTTTCTCCACTTAAAAAATTCTGATGGGAAAATAAAAGATTTTGAATCAGCTTACTGTGAGCTATTTTATATTGTTGTTGTTGTCAGGTGCCATCGAGTCGGAACCGACTCATAGCAACCCCATTCATAGCAGAAAGAAACAATGTCCGATCCTGGACCAATCTCACTACTGGTGCCACACTTGAGTCCATCAATGATGCCATCTGGCTGATCCATCTCGTTGGGGGTCTTCCTCTTTTTCTCTGACCCTCCATCTTACCCAGCATGACATCCTTCTACAGCGACTGTTCTCTCCGGACAATGTGTCCAAAGTATGAGAGATGAAGCTTAGCCATCTTGGCCTCTAAGGAGCACTCTGGTTGCACTTCTTCCAAAACAGATCCATTGGTTCTTTTGGCAGTCCA